GTGTCGTGGTTAGCGCTACGCTTCGTTACGAACCCGGCGACCCGAGTTCGATTCCCGCTCACGGCCACCACCGGTGACGATTATTTTAACCGGTCCTTGGCCTCCCCTAGGTCGACTCAGCCTCAATCGAATAACTGCTGTGGTGTGTGAGCATCGCCACTGGGGAGACAAAGGCGGCCGGGCGTGGTGGATCCAAGTCCCGGGCGAAGCCGTGTAGTTCAGCTAGTATTGTATATTTGTTTTTAAACAAGCGAATCAATGCGTGTTTTTGTGGACCTTATGATCAATATCGTCCAATGAATCGATGTATCGATACAACCCTGATTCTTACACATGGGATTGATGCGTCTCTTGTAAGCTTATACACTTACGTGAAATGCAATCGTATTCTCCACACTACATCTCTCTTGTGACATCACAGCCCTATTGTTGTCTGTAACATGGTCTTCTCTGTAAAGTTGGAGTGTATTTTGTCGTCCGTGACATTATAACATATACATACATTTACGCGGAGACAGAATGGAATGGCCTGTCGAAAATTACTCAATTGTGATTACGCACGGCAAGCATTGCCCCCTACTGGCAGACTAATGCCCTAGGAAGGATGATTTTCTGCCTTCCCGTTACTTTCTGTGGTTCCTTCTCAAGTCTCCGAGTCGTCCTCTCTCTCTTCTCTCTCCATACCTGCCAGCCCCTTATCAGTGCCCTACCTTATTACTGACCAATTCAGACCTCCTTGGTCACCCCGTGCCCTTATACATTTCAACGTCCATCCTACAAAATCCCATCACAAGGGAGAAACGCAAACACATAGACAAAGGCAATCTTGGCCTTATTGAAACGGCTGTACGTCGTATGGCCCTGAAAACTAAATTTCCCTGCAGAAGAATACGGGTAAACCGTGTGGGTTGACAGGTATGATCTCTATCTCTCTATTCTAGAGCGGAGCTGCTCTCGAAACCAGAGCCAACCAATAAAACCCGCAGCAACTGCCTGGCCCCATTGACGCAGTATAGGCTATGGGATGCCATCTGCTGGAAATTGATGGATGGTACAACCCAATGTTATTGTCAAACTCGATTCTCTCTCTGCTCGTCAAAGAGCAAAAATGCCAATGACGAAGGACGTCTGCTTGCCACAAAGAGGGCTTCAGGAGAGAAAAGTTCGTGCAGGTTGCTTTTTGTCTGTCGCAAGAGCGTAGACGACGTGCGTATGTTGAACTTCTTTCGCACCGTACGTAGCCAGCCTTGCCAATAGGAGGTGCGTGGAAATGACAACAAAATAACACACAACAAGGAGACTACATGGGGACCGCAGGGATACAACATTTCGGAAGATCCGAATTTTAATTTCCTTTCGCATTCACGTGATAACTGGAAGTGACATAATTCACTAAACTAAAATATTTCCCGGTCAAAATCGGTGACGGCACTGTTGTTTGCACAAATATATCTTCACATTAACATAGACATTTTACGTCAAATCGGAAAAAAAGATCCGAAATTGTCCTTATAAATACGATGGAGTTTTTTTTTAATTTTTATTATCCTAAACTCCAAAAATACCTCCCGAGACAGGAGCTTCAAACTCTGCAAGCGACGGCACTTGCAGGCATTTTTACACGTCAACGCACTTTCAGTCTCATTCATTAGGTACGAGCTGTACTACCCGGCTTCGCCCGGGACTTAGATTCACCACGCCCGGCCGCCTTTGTCTCCCCAATGGGGATGTTCACACACCACACTACTTACTCGTTTGAGGCTGAGTCGACCTAGGGGAGGCCCAGGACCAGTTAAAATAATCGTCACCGGTGAGCGGGAATCGAACTCGGGTCGCCGGGTTCATAGCGCAGCGCGCTACCCACTACACTACAATGCGTTACGCTTCCACGTGCGCGGGTCACATGACAGATTTGACGTCACAGCTCACTAGGCGTGCAAAAAATATATGCATTATTGAGCTCCCCCCTCCCCAAAAAAAAACACTAAAGTGTATTTTACAAATTTTTGCATGGTGTACAGTCTGGAAAGTACCCACATGGCAAATTTCAAGTTTGTTGCATGTCGGGAAGTACGCTAAACATTTTGAACAGACACACATATTCACAACTTTGCCTTTTAAATATGTGGAGATAACCCTGTGAGCCATGCGGCTCTTGACTCGGGTGCAACCGCAACAAAACAAAAACATGAGCAAGAAACATCTCAAAGTGACTACACGCAACAGAAAAAAAATCTGGAAAAACAGCAAAGTCTTCCATGAAAAAAAAACACCGCATTTCAACGCTGTGTGCAAAAAATCCCAGTGGGATGCAAGTCAAACAATCGACGGCAAATTTAAAGGGCGCCTTCACTCGAGGCGCTTGCCACAGCTTTACACAGAACGGGATAATGTTCCGTGTAGTTGACAGGGGCAGTGCCACAAGGAGGTGTTGAGGAATGAGTAACAGCGGCGAGAGAGGAGTACTTTGTGGGGGGAGTGGGGGTCACGAAAGGGCTTAAGTATGGGGAGGGACGGGAAGTAGTGGAGGGGACAAGGGGAGGGAAGAGAATGGGCAACAGAAAAGAGTGGGAGGCTTCATTATAATGGAGCTTCAAACCTGTTCATCAAGCGGCATTCGTTCAAACAAGCCCGGCTCTAAAAAAAATGGGACTTTTTTGTCAGTATCAAAGTGTGAAAAAATAAGAATAAAGTTCGCATTAACCACACAAGCTTGTGGCGAACATGCAAACAACTTGACTCCTTGCAAAAGGTTGCCATTTGGTGTTTGAATATCTTAACACCTGTTTTATTGCCAGAAAGGGTAAATTCTATTCTAAAATTTTCAAACCTGACTCTGCTTATGAGACACAGAGTCGGAATATTTATTCACACTGGAGGAATCCGATGAGCTATGAAGCTCTTTATCACATATGTCCAGTTGGGGGCGGTTAAGAAGGTTACAACAGCACAAAAAAACGATAGCAGTGCAACGTACAAGAAAGGTAAACAATCTTGAATTAAAGCTTTCGTGACTGCAGGAATCCATACTCTTTGGTTCTTTCGGTAAAGTCACGTCGGTAGAAAAATAAAATAATTATTTTTTGTTATATTTTATTTTTCTACCTACGTGCTTTTACCGAAAGAACCAAAGAGTAAAGGTAAACAAATCACCCAAACACATACAAGACACAACTAAACCATCCCCATCCTCTTCTTGGTTCTTTCGGTAAAGTCACGTAGAATGGAAATAATAAAAACATAATAAAATAATTCTCACGACGTTTCGGCCACAACGCAAGCAGCCGTCCTCAGGTGAAGAACAGGTCTGTCGAGAAGACAGAGTCTGAAATTCAGAGTCTGAAATTTCAGAGTGTGAAAAAATTCAGTCTGAAATTCAGACTCTGTCTTCTCGACAGACCTGTTCTTTACCTGAGGACGGCTGCTTGTGTTGTGGCCGAAACGTCGTGAGAATAATTTTATTATGTTTTATTTTTATTATTTTATTATTTCCATTCTACGTGACTTTACCGAAAGAACCAAGAAGAAGAATCCCTGCAGTCACGAAAGCTTTAAATCGAAACATCCCCATCCTACAAGGCAAAAAGCCCACCGAGATGTTAACTTATTTTGCAGAAGCGACCTGGCCACAAGTGACAGCTGAACAAAGTGGCCTTATCATTCGGACATTCCTTGCACCGAAAATAATCTCAATTAATGTTTCTAAATACGGAGGGAAAACCCGAAGGACCCAAAAACGAAACACAAAAACCGTTAAATTTCGATTTAAAGCTTTCGTGACTGCAAAGATTCATCTTCTTGGTTCTTTTGGTAAAGTCACGTAGAAGGGAAGTAATAAAATAATAAAAATAAAACATAATAAAATATGTTTCATTTTTATTATTTTCTTACTACCCTTCTAAAACATAATCCCTTCTAAAACATAATAAAATGTTTTATTTTTATTATTTTATTACTTCCCTTCTACGTGACTTTAAATAATAGAAATAAAAATAAAACATAATAAAATAATAAAAATAAAACATAATTTTTTTTTTATTTTATTACTTCCCTTCCACGTGACTTTAAATAATAGAAATAAAAATAAAACATAATAAAATAATAAAAATAAAACATAATAAAATGTTTTATTTTTATTATTTTATTACTTCCCTTCGACGTGACTTTACCGAAAGAACCAAGAAAAAACGTTGCTTGAATAAACCCTGATGGGTGATTTTCGTCCGCAAAGCCGGGAGACTGATGGACTATCAAACACGTTCATTGTGTGGAGACACGAGACGCGAAATGCTTTGCTTTTATTGCAACACCTCCGATAAGCACGGTTGGCTACGCACGGTGTGAAAGAAGTTCTTACGGCACAGCATCGTCGGATTATAAGACGCACACCCTGGCTGTATTTTTTATTTAAAAAATTTGGGACCTTTCGCGTCTCATAATCTGGCGTGGGTGCGCGTGTGGGGAGCGGTGGTGCAGCGGTTAGCGCTCACGGCCAACAACCAGTGACGATTATCTGAACCGGTCCTGGACCTCCCCTAGGTCGACTCGGCCTCAAATAAGTACCTGGTACGGCGTGTTCAGTAAACATCGCCACTGGTGCTGACCCCACCCTTAACAGCACCGGCTTAACAGCAATTGCTCCAACGGTCTGTTCAGGCCAAGGCTATTACGGGGCGATCTTTATCTTGTCTTCGTGACAGCGGACTTGTCGAACTTTATTGATTGACACGGGGGGGACACGGTTTCAGGGTGCGTCTTACTTTCCGGCACCGGTAATTCAATGCGGCCAGACGCGCACGCTCGCTGCGCGCTTACGTCACGATCGCTGCGCGCTTACGTCACGAAGCAGCGTAATGACGTCACGACGCGCACGCTCGCTGCGCACTTACGTCACGAAGCAGCGTAACGACGTCACGACGCGCACGCTCGCTGCGCGCTTACGTCACGAAGCAGCGTAATGACGTCACCGGTCGCTCGTCAACCAATGGGAGAGGCGCGATTGTTGATCCGTCTGAGAACGCGGCGGCCTTGTTCCCACGTCCGCCGTGCACGGCAACAGAGGGTCGACTTCTGAACCCTGGCCAACGTTTAAACTCGCGCCGTCTTCTTACAAAACAATAACAACAAGCAAGCAAGCAAGCGTCATGCCGGCCCGCTACGTCGGCGCGTTGCTCGGTCTGGCGGCGCTCGCCGCGGCTACCTCCACGGCGACCCCCGGCAAAGCCTCGGCCTTGCCTAACAAGGCTGCCGCGTTCAACCGCACCGAGGCCCCCGGCAAGGAGGCCTCGGCGCCTGACGGCTCGTACAAGTCCCCGTTCGACAACCTCATGATCCAGCGCGCTCTCTACGTCCTCATCGGTGTCACGGCCGTGGTGGTCATATACTTCATCATTCGCACCATTAGGTACGGAGATGTTTGCTGTTAAGGGTGATCGCCAAAGCTGCTTTTTAAAATCCTTTATATTAAGTTCGCTTGCTTGCTTAGGACCGTGCAAATCTTTCGGTCGTTTTTTAACCCACTTCCCGTGATCCAATCGAGCTGACATTTTGCACACAGACTCGTTGTGCGAGACAATTAATTTTCGTGAAAAAAAATTCCAAAATGTTACACTTTTTAGGGAAAACTAATTAAATATTTAATTAGCAATTGTTTAATACTGCAGACAATCATCTGACCCATAGGTGGCAGCCATCTCAAGCCAGAGGACGAGAGGACTCTAGCCGCCACGCATATAAAGGATTTAGAGTGAAAAACTTTGTTTTTACGGGTTAATTTTTTACCAGTGCGGTGAAGTTTTTTGAGTACTGTACGGGGTTGGTCCAGATGTCTTGTGATTTCACAATTAATTGACCGAGAACACCTCCCCCCCCTCCCCCCACCGTTGCATATTAATTTATGTATTTAATAAGCCTCACTTACAAAATAAACATTGTGTTTTAGAGAATTAAAGGGGGGGCGTGGGGGGTGGTCTCAAGACATTGTATCACTTTGTGCAACACAATTGGGCATTGCTATGCGAGCTTACATAGCGTCTAATGTTGTTTTCTTACAGCCGTTTCAATGCGGGCAAAATTTAATTGTATTTCTCCCTTGTGATGGGGACTTTGTAGGATGAACGTTGAGATTTTTAAGGGCACGTGGTGACCAATAAGGTCTGAATTGGTCTGTAATAATTTAGGCACTGATAATGGGTTGACATGTATGCTGGTCGAATACAACCGCATCTCAAGGCGCTTGACGGAAGCCGTGGGCATCTTTAATTTGCTGTCCAGTAAAACCTTGGATTGCGAACATAATTCGTTCCGGAAACATGTTTCTAATCCAAAGCACTAGTATATCAAAGCACTCGTATATCAGTTGTGATCACGTGACGCTCGGCAGACAAAGAGTATACCACGTACTACTCGTATTGCAAGACCTCGCTCGTTTATCAAATTAATATTCATTTAAAAAAATTGCTCATCTTGCAAAACACTCACAGACCAAGTTACTCGCAATCCAAGGTTTTACTGTATTTTGTTCAGAGGCAGTCGGCCGTAGGCAGAGGAGGAGACGAAGCTATTGAGCAGGCAGTCGGAGGCACGGGTGATTCGGGAAAGGGAACTTTCACGCCATGGGGCTGGACAAAAGGATAAGCAGCAACGTTTCACTCAGAATCAGAATTTGTCCTGGAGAAATCCGATGAGCAATGGAGCTCTTTTTCGCAGATGTGCAGTCGTAGAAAACGCCACGACCTGTGCCCTTTAACCATCCCCACTTGCCCAGCTGCTGCTGCTGCTGCTACATGGAAATCCTTGAGGTGGGAGTCACCAACAGTCTCTGTTGACAGCGTGGGCAAGCGGTCGAGAAGAAACAAGCGGTACGGCGTTCTGAGCACATCAGCTGAGCACATCGAGCTCGCTGCCCTGGAGCAGGAGGACGATGACGACGATGAGGACACCACCCTCTTCGAAGCTCGCCAGGGCCGGAGATGAGGTGCGTTTCACATGTCAGCGCATCTGCATGTAACAATAACACCGTACGCCAATAAGCGGTGATGACATCACCACGGCGTCTGTGCCAGGCCCAGGTGCACTTTGAGGCCACGTGAAGTGTCGACGGTCACGGGACAGTCCCAGGTGCCATGGGTTGACTGATTGAGATGACTGGCAGATGCACCAGCTGTGCCCTCTCCTGTGCCAACTGTATCTAACACACTCACACGCAGTATTGATTCAGACAGGGATAGCCTCATGTGGTTTGTGCATTCATACTTGGCCACATGGTGGGCAGCATAGCAATTGTTGTACTCTTCTTCTATGCTCACACAACTATGCCTCCCATCTTCACTATCCCACCCAGGCCAGCATGGTTGAAATATGGTCATTTAACCACTGTGATCCACAGTGGGTTAACAAACAGCTCTACAAGCACACTGGGACACATCTCCTACCACCCAGTGCTCAATAGTAGAGTAATTGTGTACATTTGTTGCCTAACTACATAGCATGTACCACAGCCTACGGATGATTAATCCCGTCTGCCACTGTGGTGAAGGTGCTTTAAATGTACATGTTATTCTCCCACTGCTTAAACCAGGGGTGGGGAACCTTTTTTTCTGCCAAGGGCCATATCGATATTTATAACATCATTCGCGGGCCATACAAAATTTTCAACTTCAAAATTACCCTATTATATTTGGTCCATCATTTAATTAACACACCCCTAATGTGATGGCTGGAATTGCTTCTCTTTGGTGAGGCGTGTGATGTTAGCTGGTATTGATGATGTTGCTACTCGCAACTGTTTTTCCAGGTTTGCCCCGAGATTAATTGAATTTTGGAGTCCAGCTTGCGGTTGCCTTGGCAGGGCCACACCAAATGATTTTGCGGGCCTTATACGGCCCGGGGGCCAGACGTTCCCCACCCCTGGCTTTAAGGAATATGCAACCCTCAAACAGGTAGATCTTGTTATGTAGATACAAATAAAAATAAAGAGACCCACCTTTACACTATGAGATCTCTTTTACCAGTGGCAAAATATAATAGTAGGTTTTTACCCTTTTAACTGGTACAAAACTGACACCTTTATTCAAGGCATCATGTTTGCAATGACCACAACACAAGTAGTCAAAAAAGCAAACAAAAAGAAGCAACTCTGATAAGGATGATAATATGCACTGTCCTTGAAGTTGATTGGCCCACACCCGAGACGGCTTTCTTTAGAGCCTAGTCCCCATTGGTGTAGGGCCAGATGACACCAGAAGGCGTACAACTCAAACACAGTGCAATATCAGAGTATTGAGAGCTCGGGGTAAGCATTTACACTATGAGATCTCTTTTACCAGTGGCAAAATATAATAGTAGGTTTTTACCCTTTTAACTGGTACAAAACTGACACCTTTATTCAAGGCATCATGTTTGCAATGACCACAACACAAGTAGTCAAAAAAGCAAACAAAAAGAAGCAACTCTGATAAGGATGATAATATGCACTGTCCTTGAAGTTGATTGGCCCACACCCGAGACGGCTTTCTTTAGAGCCTAGTCCCCATTGGTGTAGGGCCAGATGACACCAGAAGGCGTACAACTCAAACACAGTGCAATATCAGAGTATTGAGAGCTCGGGGTAAGCATTTACACTATGAGATCTCTTTTACCAGTGGCAAAATATAATAGTAGGTTTTTACCCTTTTAACTGGTACAAAACTGACACCTTTATTCAAGGCATCATGTTTGCAATGACCACAACACAAGTAGTCAAAAAAGCAAACAAAAAGAAGCAACTCTGATAAGGATGATAATATGCACTGTCCTTGAAGTTGATTGGCCCACACCCGAGACGGCTTTCTTTAGAGCCTAGTCCCCATTGGTGTAGGGCCAGATGACACCAGAAGGCGTACAACTCAAACACAGTGCAATATCAGAGTATTGAGAGCTCGGGGTAAGCATTTACACTATGAGATCTCTTTTACCAGTGGCAAAATATAATAGTAGGTTTTTACCCTTTTAACTGGTACAAAACTGACACCTTTATTCAAGGCATCATGTTTGCAATGACCACAACACAAGTAGTCAAAAAAGCAAACAAAAAGAAGCAACTCTGATAAGGATGATAATATGCACTGTCCTTGAAGTTGATTGGCCCACACCCGAGACGGCTTTCTTTAGAGCCTAGTCCCCATTGGTGTAGGGCCAGATGACACCAGAAGGCGTACAACTCAAACACAGTGCAATATCAGAGTATTGAGAGCTCGGGGTAAGCATTTACACTATGAGATCTCTTTTACCAGTGGCAAAATATAATAGTAGGTTTTTACCTACTATTATATTTTGCCACTGGTAAAAGAGATCTCATAGTGTAAATGCTTACCCCGAGCTCTCAATACTCTGATATTGCACTGTGTTTGAGTTGTACGCCTTCTGGTGTCATCTGGCCCTACACCAATGGGGACTAGGCTCTAAAGAAAGCCGTCTCGGGTGTGGGCCAATCAACTTCAAGGACAGTGCATATTATCATCCTTATCAGAGTTGCTTCTTTTTGTTTGCTTTTTTGACTACTTGTGTTGTGGTCATTGCAAACATGATGCCTTGAATAAAGGTGTCAGTTTTGTACCAGTTAAAAGGGTAAAAACCTACTATTATATTTTGCCACTGGTAAAAGAGATCTCATAGTGTAAATGCTTACCCCGAGCTCTCAATACTCTGATATTGCACTGTGTTTGAGTTGTACGCCTTCTGGTGTCATCTGGCCCTACACCAATGGGGACTAGGCTCTAAAGAAAGCCGTCTCGGGTGTGGGCCAATCAACTTCAAGGACAGTGCATATTATCATCCTTATCAGAGTTGCTTCTTTTTGTTTGCTTTTTTGACTACTTGTGTTGTGGTCATTGCAAACATGATGCCTTGAATAAAGGTGTCAGTTTTGTACCAGTTAAAAGGGTAAAAACCTACTATTATATTTTGCCACTGGTAAAAGAGATCTCATAGTGTAAATGCTTACCCCGAGCTCTCAATACTCTGATATTGCACTGTGTTTGAGTTGTACGCCTTCTGGTGTCATCTGGCCCTACACCAATGGGGACTAGGCTCTAAAGAAAGCCGTCTCGGGTGTGGGCCAATCAACTTCAAGGACAGTGCATATTATCATCCTTATCAGAGTTGCTTCTTTTTGTTTGCTTTTTTGACTACTTGTGTTGTGGTCATTGCAAACATGATGCCTTGAATAAAGGTGTCAGTTTTGTACCAGTTAAAAGGGTAAAAACCTACTATTATATTTTGCCACTGGTAAAAGAGATCTCATAGTGTAAATGCTTACCCCGAGCTCTCAATACTCTGATATTGCACTGTGTTTGAGTTGTACGCCTTCTGGTGTCATCTGGCCCTACACCAATGGGGACTAGGCTCTAAAGAAAGCCGTCTCGGGTGTGGGCCAATCAACTTCAAGGACAGTGCATATTATCATCCTTATCAGAGTTGCTTCTTTTTGTTTGCTTTTTTGACTACTTGTGTTGTGGTCATTGCAAACATGATGCCTTGAATAAAGGTGTCAGTTTTGTACCAGTTAAAAGGGTAAAAACCTACTATTATATTTTGCCACTGGTAAAAGAGATCTCATAGTGTAAATGCTTACCCCGAGCTCTCAATACTCTGATATTGCACTGTGTTTGAGTTGTACGCCTTCTGGTGTCATCTGGCCCTACACCAATGGGGACTAGGCTCTAAAGAAAGCCGTCTCGGGTGTGGGCCAATCAACTTCAAGGACAGTGCATATTATCATCCTTATCAGAGTTGCTTCTTTTTGTTTGCTTTTTTGACTACTTGTGTTGTGGTCATTGCAAACATGATGCCTTGAATAAAGGTGTCAGTTTTGTACCAGTTAAAAGGGTAAAAACCTACTATTATATTTTGCCACTGGTAAAATAGATCTCATAGTGTAAATGCTTACCCCGAGCTCTCAATACTCTGATATTGCACTGTGTTTGAGTTGTACGCCTTCTGGTGTCATCTGGCCCTACACCAATGGGGACTAGGCTCTAAAGAAAGCCGTCTCGGGTGTGGGCCAATCAACTTCAAGGACAGTGCATATTATCATCCTTATCAGAGTTGCTTCTTTTTGTTTGCTTTTTTGACTACTTGTGTTGTGGTCATTGCAAACATGATGCCTTGAATAAAGGTGTCAGTTTTGTACCAGTTAAAAGGGTAAAAACCTACTATTATATTTTGCCACTGGTAAAAGAGATCTCATAGTGTAAATGCTTACCCCGAGCTCTCAATACTCTGATATTGCACTGTGTTTGAGTTGTACGCCTTCTGGTGTCATCTGGCCCTACACCAATGGGGACTAGGCTCTAAAGAAAGCCGTCTCGGGTGTGGGCCAATCAACTTCAAGGACAGTGCATATTATCATCCTTATCAGAGTTGCTTCTTTTTGTTTGCTTTTTTGACTACTTGTGTTGTGGTCATTGCAAACATGATGCCTTGAATAAAGGTGTCAGTTTTGTACCAGTTAAAAGGGTAAAAACCTACTATTATATTTTGCCACTGGTAAAAGAGATCTCATAGTGTAAATGCTTACCCCGAGCTCTCAATACTCTGATATTGCACTGTGTTTGAGTTGTACGCCTTCTGGTGTCATCTGGCCCTACACCAATGGGGACTAGGCTCTAAAGAAAGCCGTCTCGGGTGTGGGCCAATCAACTTCAAGGACAGTGCATATTATCATCCTTATCAGAGTTGCTTCTTTTTGTTTGCTTTTTTGACTACTTGTGTTGTGGTCATTGCAAACATGATGCCTTGAATAAAGGTGTCAGTTTTGTACCAGTTAAAAGGGTAAAAACCTACTATTATATTTTGCCACTGGTAAAAGAGATCTCATAGTGTAAATGCTTACCCCGAGCTCTCAATACTCTGATATTGCACTGTGTTTGAGTTGTACGCCTTCTGGTGTCATCTGGCCCTACACCAATGGGGACTAGGCTCTAAAGAAAGCCGTCTCGGGTGTGGGCCAATCAACTTCAAGGACAGTGCATATTATCATCCTTATCAGAGTTGCTTCTTTTTGTTTGCTTTTTTGACTACTTGTGTTGTGGTCATTGCAAACATGATGCCTTGAATAAAGGTGTCAGTTTTGTACCAGTTAAAAGGGTAAAAACCTACTATTAGACCCACCTTTGTTCCCACATGTGCCTCTGGATGAGAGGTGATGGGCAGGGCTTGGTGAAGCCACCAACATCATCAGTGGCATCAACCTGGGCTTGACTTGTAGGGGGTTTCCGGCCTTCAGGAGTAATCGAACACAAACAAGTAGTCGAGTCAATTTAATTGATTTAATTTAATTGATTAATTGTCCGAGCTTTATATCAAAGTATCTCTCAGGCTATGTCATGATGTTACCGTGGTATGGTCACTGCAGTAATGTCCCGAGAGCGCTAATCCGTGTCTCCTGAGAGGCACTTAATTTTTTCGGACAGCCGTGAACCCAAGACCCTGGTCTTTGTCTTTATTGTAAAGATAAGCACATTTCTTCGTGCTTTTTTCCCTTTAAATGCAGAACACTGATTGATTTAACGTGCAATTTGTATTGAGGTTTGAGTGTCCTTAGTTAAAAGAATTACTATAATAAGCCAAGCATGTGTGTGTCCCTCGCGTGATGTCACTCCACATGAGGCCCACCCTCCCGTGTGACGTCACTCCACACTTACGCAAAGTCGTTTCAAATATGACGTTTCTTTACAGAAAGTGACGGTAAAAAACAAATCTAAACAGCACAGTGCTACATCCGTGTGTGACATCACTGCAACAGAGCCCCCCCCCCCCCCTTCATTAAAATTCATGCCCACGTGGAAATTTACACTAACGCACAAGAAGGTCGCGTACTCCACATGCCGCACCCCTCCCCTCATTAATAATCATGAGCGGGTGACGTCACTCCACATGCTGCACCCCTCCACAATAACCATTAACAGGTGATGTCACTCCACATGGGGCAACCCCCCCCACTCATTAATAATCATGAGCTGAACAATTTTTCTATTGAATATTTCAGATTTACTGCAATATACACCCGTCCTTGGACGGGCAATAAAAGCCAGTAGTATATTTTCGTGTGAGAGGTAGGGTGGAGTAATACTATAATTAATACACAACATTGCAATCCCATTGATCCTGACTTGTTTTCTGACCATTGCACATCAGTGCCAAGTGATTGTCAGCCTGTCCTTAACTTATCCTAGGTCAGGGGTCGGTAAAGAAAATAACAAGAAGAGACTTTTTTTCTCGAATTCGGTAAAAAAAACTCAAAATTTCAAGAAGAGCAATGCATGTGAATACGAGACGGTGGTTGTAAATAAATAACGTCACATAGCGGTCCTTAACGAGTCGCATGCAGTTCCGGAGCTGCAGGTTGCCGACTCCTGGGCTAAGTAATTTCAAAATGAAATGAGTGTTTGAGATGATATGTCTGCAATTGACGACACTGACGAGGCAAAGGTGGCTGGGCAAAGTTGCTATCCATGCCACGCATTCTCTCCTGGCCTTAGTAGGCGCTTTCAGACAGCAGATTTCCTACTTGGCACAAATGGGCTCTTTGCGTTGGTGTACGGTGTTTTTTCTGCAATATTTTGCTGTCTTTAATTTGATTTTCTGTTTGCACTCAGTCACATATTCACTTTAAGATTTTTTTTGTTCATGTTTTTGTTTTTTGTTTGTTGCGGTTGCACCCGATTCAAGAGCCGAATGGCTCACAGGGCTATACCTAATAAATGAACTTAAACTTGAACTTGTTATAGTATTAAAAGATTCGTGCTTTGTTGACATGTAAAATGCTCTGTGTTTCATCCACAGGACACCAGGCGATGTTGGATGTAGGAGTTCACCGACTGCACCGGGGGAAAAAAAATATGAAAGGCCAAGCAAAGAGCGACAGTGCTTTTCCCGTTCACCAGAAAAGTTTTGTACATAAATTTCACACGCGCGTGTTGGTAGAATTAATGAGTGTTGTTCAGGAGCCTGAAATCTTATTATCTTCCGAGAAGCATCAACACTTTGTGAGGGATGATGAAAAGGTTTGGATTCGGTGTGCGATCTACTTTCGGTGGGTCTCTTGGTAGGAATTTATTTTTGTTATAAAGAAGTGAATGTGAATGATATAACTTCCAGTCGAATTAACTTTCAAGGAAAATAGACGTGTGTGCTCATCCTATTTTGTATCGTGTCTAATGATGCTGTCAAAGTCAATCTGTGCAACAAGTGGCTGCGTGTGGCCCTTGGAGTATAGCGATGCTGAGGTCAGGGCACTGAGTCAGCAATGCCAAAAGTATGGGTTGGATCCTAGTCACCAATGACTGACTAAAATAAACACGGAATTAGTGTTTTTTTGGAATTGGTTAAGGAACACTGTTGATATTGTTTTGAGTTGTGTTGTTACTTTGGTGAGGGTTTAGTTTGTTTTCAGGTTAACAGCCTTTCGTCGTTTCACGAGTTCATGTTTTCTGAGCTGACCGGTAACTATTAACATGGTGTCACTCTCATAAAGCACGATATCACTTGCTACCAAACAGGGATTTTGGTTAAGAGTTGCCACAAACGGTAGATTGCCCTCCCATTTCAGCAATTAACGCTGTTTTCACCAACAACCCAAATGTTCTTGGTGAGCAATACTCGAGGAGAATAACTGTGCTTAGCTTCAGATGTAATATATTTTATTACTGCCTACCATATTGTGATCCTGATCTTTCTAAAACCGCTTTGGTTTTTGCGCCGCTTGTCTAAATGTGTCTTCGTGTTGTACTTCGTGTCGTGCTGCGTGTTATTCCACGTGTTCTTTGGCACGATGTCCGACATGGAGAGCTGCAATTATCCGGTTGTGAATTATGTTTGATTCAAGAGGCTCTGTATGATTAAGAATTAAGTGAAAAGGCTGCAAGCCTCTCACATCGAGCTTTTATTTTTGTCTAAGGGGCACACATTGTCCCGTTTCACTTCATTTAGTGAGTGACAAATGTCAACGTTCTCTTTATGCTTCGTCAAGTATTTGTTTTTATTGTTACGTGTATAATGACCAATCAATATGACATTCATGTATGTCATAAAAAACATTGCCATGTGGACGCAGCGCAGTGCAAGTTTACGACTTTTCGGCTTTCCTTATCCAAATTTGGTGAACAAAACTTTTGTTGTGATAAGCGTATAGAGTTTTCTTGTTTTTTCTCACTGCTGTTTTCAATTCTATCATTTCTCTTCCAAAAAGACTAATGTCTTTTCTAAAGGGACGTTCTCATCCACCACTTAAATGAAGACAAAATTGGGCAACCAGTGTATGTATCCACCCATTCACTCGAAACCTTTATTGCCAAAGTGAAACTTCATAATTACTTTTTAAAAAGTCACCGTATTTGCCAGGCATGGTGCGGCATACCTGCGATGCAGTGCTTCTACGTGTGGATGGTGGATCACGTGAACGTCACTGTGTGACTGGTCTTGCAGGCCTATGACGTGGCTAGTAGATGGCAATAAAGCAAGCGGATTTGGTGACCCGTCTTCATGACCTTTTGAGTGTCATCCCCTAGTATGCATGGGATTGTTTTCAGATATGCCAATTTTCTCCCACTTGCAACATAAGCATCAAAGAGTATTTGGCAAAACATCCCAATGTAAGATCATTCCTGAAAAAAACAACTAATCCATTGATTATTTAAATTAATAGAACAGGTGGTGAAGTGTACAGAAAGATACAATAAAACTGCATATACGAACCATACAGCTATTTGTGACAATGTTGATTATGGAAGAATGATAAACCCGTAGGTCTGAGGGTATGATCACTTATGAATTCGTGTTCCCTTAGTAACATTGTGGGGGAGTCGAGTTCAAAGTTGCATGCCACTTAGCCATTTTGTTGGAATTTGAAACGTTCTGTTCTCGTGGCCACCTCGTTCCATCTTCGACCGATTACCAAAGGGCACCAACTGCTTAGCATTGTCCGTGAGAGACACTGCAGCGTTGTCAGAGAGCAATGTTGTAGCATTAACATTCTGTTTCTAGATTTGACATTTTCGTGACTGCAAGGGTCCATACTCTTGGTTCTTTCGGTAAAGTCACGTAGGTAAAGAAAATAGTAAATAAATTAAATCACGACGTTTCGATTGCGATACAAGCAATCATCATCAGGTGTGACAACCACCGCAAGAATTTTTTTTACTGAAGTGACGTTCTAACATTCTATTTCTAGGAGGACATTTATTATTTTTTGTGCGACTGACATATCTGAATTCTACCGTGCAAAAGAATGAACCTGGGCCTTCACATGATGAATGGACATTTAGTCATGTCAGAATGTCTATAAATGTTTGGTAATGCTCATCTTTCTGTAAAATTGATCAATTGCGCAAATTCTTTTTCCCATGGTGTGGGGCCCAGTCTGTCCATTTAAATACCACTGTTGACCTCCATTGTGTACTGCTGCTTCCAATTTCCCCCACGGGTTTGACTTTTGCAATCTTTCTATTGTGCATCAAGCACAGTGCTACATGGCCTCATTTGACACTCGTGTGTGTATGCACATTCTCAGGGCTTAGCTCGTCCTAAATGTATTTCCCTGTAGCTGTAATGTGTTTTTTTGCACTTTAAGTCTCGTTTATTATTGCCAATGTCTGTATGCTTCAGGTGAACTGGGAGTGACCGTTTTGCAGTGACAATTCTGTAATTTGCCAGATGTTGCCATGCTTGTAGTACACTGCTTTAGAGGTGGGGGTTGATGGATCATGCAAAGATCATTGTGTGCACGAGACATGCAACGCAGTGTTATTCTCTTGCATGCCTGGGCTTTCTCCAGATACTCCGGTTTGCTACCACATGCAAAATGTGTAGAAAAGGATTATCAGTTTGTTTTACGTCATGGTTTTCTGTAATGATGCTTGGGATGAGCAAGATTGTTTGAACAAAAATGTCCCTTCAAACCTGTCTCCTTAAGGAAAAGCATCTCCCTGGGGTGATGCTTTCTGGGAGACACTCGCAGACAGTGGTAGAAATTCTCACCTTCCCATGCAGGTGGCCGGTATCTCAAAATGACGACCACATTCGATTGTTATTACGAGGTGGTGCGATTGATTGGAAGTAACGACTGCCACATTTGACCCTGACCACGTTGTGAACTCTTGCCCAGATCGTCGAGTCGAACACTCTAACAACTTGTATTTGGTTATAGTGTCTCTTTAGAAGTAATACGTGTTGGTGAGTAAGAACACGTGGCTTTAGTTGGGAGTCAATTCAAAGTTTACCACCCTGCTCAAATGTGCAATGGGGTGGAGAGCATCTGCGTAGGTTGCTCTGAACCAGTTGTGGTAATTCCTCATTCCTGTGGCGGGTGCCAGGCATCCCATAGGACTATAATGGCCATATTATCTGAGCACGGGTCCAGTCTTTATGTGAAGTTAATTTAGAATTAATTAATTGGACATCGTCTTTGTGCCTGCGTGGTGAAGCGTGCCTGCGTGGTGAAGCGTGCAGGTGTGTCACGTGGAAGACTTGACAGCAACACTCATCCGTTGTACGTCGCATAGTCTATACTCTTTGGTTTATTCGGTAAAGTCACGTGGGTAGAAAAATAATAATACATCACGACGTTTTGATCGTCAGATGAAGGTGAAGACGGTTGCTTCAGGTGAAGACGGTTGTTTTTTGGTGGCGATCGGAACGTCGTGATCTATTATTTTTCTACCTACGTGACTTTACCGAAAGAACCAAAGAGTATGGATTCCTGCAGTCACGAAAGCTTCAAATCAAAAGTCGCATAGTCCGTCGTCCACTTGTTTACCACTATACACAACCACGTGTTGCTGTGTCCAGGAATGTATGTCGATGGCTTGATGTACAATGCAACTGCAGGTTGCTTTGCCCAGGTGTCTTGATTTACGTTTTGAGTAAGCTGTGATGTAATGCTTTTGTCAGATTTCTTTTTTTCATTTTGAAACTGGGTGGGGGTTCATGATCACTGTACATACCCGTCTGTACAAATACACGCTTTGGCTTTGGGTGCACTGCGATGTCTGTTTTCATTGTGAAACAAATTAAAGTACTTTTAACATAAAGCATTTTTTGGTTTTGTGTTTAGGATGAAATGACGGTGTATTGCTCACAGATGTGCTACAGTATCAAGTCATATTCTCTCCCTGAGTACATTTGAATTTTCTCTCCAGTTGTCTTGTGTTTGCTAGTCCCCATGTCACTCAACCTGGCCCCTGCAATCGTTTCTGTGCTCTTAGCTATCATCCCTGCTCCTCATTGCCACTACAGTACCTTGCCTTCACCCGTTGCTGGCTTCATCACTGCTGCGCAAAGAACCTTGTCACGCTTAGAGATCATCAGCATTGGGGACTTGTCGGTGCTTGGCCTTAGGATCTCATTGGCGTTAGACATCGTTCGTGCTGGGGCTCTCCCTGGAACTCGTCGCATTATGAGACCTCGTCTGCATTGAGCACATAGACCGTCTGGCACGGGGCGGTGGCACGGCCAAGTTGGGGCATGTGTTGCTACTTGTTCGTGGTTTGCCGTGGTTCGAGCCCCACGGCCGCCCTGGTTAATACTGCCGAGGTGAACGTTCAAGCAGAGAGATGCTGACTCGGGTAATGTTGTGTATGTTATATTATTAATTATTATTACGAATTGTTTTAACATAAGGTACGTTATATTGCTATACTAATAAAACAAAAGCATCAGTATGTGGCCTTAAAAGAAAACAGGTGACGTTTTGGGGAATGGCCTTAATTACACGTCAATAGACAGGTCAGAGAGATCGAGTGGATAATGAAAGTGGGAGACTGCACGTTATGCCATGGGGCCGGCTTCATGAGAAATTACATTTAAAAAGGTTTTCCGATGACCACTTTTTAGTTTCGATCAAATTGAATACCAAATTACATCAGCAGGGGTCGCGCTTGCAACGCCTCGCGGGCGGTAGAGCCACGCGGCTCATGGATGACATCACAGCAATGGAGCGTGACATTGACAAATTACTGTAAACATGCATTTTCAGCTTTCTTGATTAAGTTCTTCCACTAGTTTAATTAAATAGACTTTTTAATAAAAAAATTTATCCTACAACATCAGAGTGCAGCACCACATTAAATACGCACTACAATGACAATAGTTTAAAGCGATTTTAAGCATTTTTTATTTTCAAAATTGAAATATGTTGTTTGGGGGGATTGGGGGGCAGAGCTTTGTGACGTCATATTTGAGGGGGGGTTGTGACGTCATCGCGCGAGCCACGTGTCAGCAGCAGCAACAAAAAAACACGATGACGTCATCTCTCAGTACGAACTTTCAAACCGACCGCCGTGACGTCATCGAGCGCGCGCGCGTCACGTGACCGCTGCTTCCTTCCCCTCTCTCCCTCCCGCCTCCTCCGTTCCATTCAACTTGAGGCCTCTGTGCTGTTAAAAGTCGCATCGACCATGGGTAACTATCCCGGTGGAACACTCGCTGCCGTTGTTGTTGTAGTTTTAATGGCGAGTAGCGAAGTTGTCTTGATATAATGACTCTGGGCTGGTCAAGTTGGGGGCTTCGCCCGTCTCGCCTCCCTCCCTCCCCCTCCCCTCCTGACGTTGACGTGGCAACTCAAGCCTCGGCCTCGAAACGTCTGAACTGCGTCGGGGTTTTTCGTTCGCTCGTCCGATTGTGTCGTGGTTTTTTGTTGTTGTTGTGTGTGTTTGTGTGTTAACCCTCTCACGCGGCGCGTTTTGCTGACGGCAAACACGAAGAAATGTCGAGGGTGGTTTTTTTTTTAGTGGTGATGGGGATTCATCTTCTTGTTTCTTTCGGTAAAGTCACGTAGAATGGAAATAATAAAATAATAATAATTTAAATATAATAATTCTCACGACGTTTATTATGTTTGATTAATTTTTATTATTTTATTATTTCCATTCTACGTGACTTTACCGAAAGAAGCAAGAAGATGAATCCCTGCAGTCACGAAAGATTTAAATCGGTGATGGGGATGTCCACTACACCTTCGGGAATTTTGTCAACTGGTGAAATGTCATACAAATACGCGAGTCGAGTTGGTTTCATTTAGATTGCAGATGACTTTACGTGATATCATCATGCTATTGGTATTGCCACTGTTAAAATGATCAGGCCATGATCAATCAACTGCTGGATGAAGTGTAAAAAACCTGAGTATGAAGTGTAATCCCCCCCCACATCGTGTGGGTAGTGAAGATTTTAACCATACGCTGGTTACATTTTGATTTAAAGCTTTCGTGACTGCAGGGATTCATATTCTTGATTCTTTCGGTAAAGTCACGTAGAAGGGAAAGAATACAATAAAAAAGAATAATATTTTTAATAAAAAATAATAAGATTTGTATTATTTTTATAAAAAATTATAAGATTTGTATTATTTTGTATTATTGTTATTGCCAAAATAATATTTTTTATAATTTTTTATTATTTCATTGTTTCCCTTCTACGTGACTTTACCGAAAGAACCAAGCATGTACCTACGCTGGTTCTTTCGGTAAAGTCACATAGGTAGAAAAATAAAATATATCACGACGTTTCGATCACAACACAATATTGGAACCATACTTCCCCACGCTGGGCCAGTGCGTGGTTTGTGAATGTTGGCTGAGTAGGAGGCAGAGGTGTGGACTCGAGTCATGTGACTTGGACTCGAGTCAGACTCGAGTCATGAATTTGATGACTTCAGACTCGACTTGGACTTGCATAACAATGACTTTGTCCCACCTCTGGTAGGAGGAGGCCCCAAGATTTGAGTGGGATGCCACTTGCCACTGATGGTGGCCGTGGCCGGGGAAGAGATCTCTGGAGAGATGATGACGATGACAATGACGACGATGACAGACCTGTGCAGTTCGATGAATGTGAGGATGAATGATGATGATGATGATGGTGTTACTGCACAGGTATAAATTCTCTTTTAAAGTCCTTTATTTTGACCAGGTGCAAGCCCATTGAGGATTGTAAATGTCGTGCCACGTTTTGTTTACGTGACGAACCTTACTAATTGTCTGTGTTGGCTGGTGGCGAGTTTTACAACCCATTTACGCGATCCAACCCCCCAAAAAAACCTTTATTATGGATACATTTACTCCATACCTGGGGTTCCAACGACGACCTAATTTAACTGAATACTTTACCGTGAAGATTAATTGTCAGTTTCACTGATGTGAAATATTTACAGGACAGTCCCATTGCCATGCCCCGCTATGTGAACAATAATTATCACATTTTAGATTGTTCTGTGTCCTTGTGAAATAAAAAAAAAATAGATTTTTTTACGAAAAATTATTTTCTATTTGTTTTGAAAAAAAATACTCCACCGGAAATGCGCTCGATCTTGGTCAGTTATCGAAAGCTAAGCAGATTTTAGTCTGAATTTTGCTTGGAAGGGTGACCACCGTCCGTACACAAATGATCGCAGGCTGCTTACGTGGCTACAGTGTCAACAGAGGGCAGTGCAGAATACTACAGATAGTCCCCGAGTTACGATGGTCCGATTTAAGATATTTCGATCTTACGATGGCGATCGCGATACGACAAAATTGTTAAATATTTTAAATTTCGCGCGGCAGGCAAACGCAGCAGCGAACTATACGTGCAATGTATGTATGATACGTAGCTTTAGCGATTTAATTTCAGGGTTACCACGATACGATACGTTCAATGCATGTTAAAAGTTGTTATAGCAGATTGGATTGTTTCCTGAAGAAACTATTAAATTGCAGTTCATATAGGTAGGTTAAGAATTTACCTTGTTTTTTTTTACTTTATATTTTACTGTGCAATACAGTATTGTAATTAATACATACAGTATATAGTTTATACAGTACGGTACTGTAAATTGCTCTGTTTTGCTAAATTATCACCATTCTTTAAGACTGCTGGGTAGGCTAGGCCATCTTTGACTTGTGATATTTTTGACTTACGATGGGGTCGTCGTAACGCTTCTCCATCGTAAGTAGAGGACTGCCTGTTTACTTTGTTCTTCACTTTGCTTCCTGCCGTCAATCCGCACTGAACTATTGTGGCGATGTATGGTCAAATAACCCCACAGCCCACACACAGTATCAAGACCTGCATGCAAAAGGGTGCCGTACGTGTAAATTCCAATACTTTTTGATCAGACTAACAGCCAAGTGGCCTTGTGATTAGAACACCTACAACCCATTTGGGAGTTGGTTCAGGCCATCCCTCGTTGATTGATAAAGTTAGTGCTATTTTGTGAAAGTCAGTAGTGGTCTTCTTATGAAGTGAGTGGCAGCTACCATGGCAATGCGGAATTTTCAAAGTGGTTCATGGCAGCAGGTGGAAATAACCACCACCCGTTGCTCAGTTCAACAAGGAGACACTTTAACTCGACTTTTTCCCCATCATACCTTCAGGGTCGATAACATAAGTACCACGTTGTGGCAAGTCAAGAGTTGTGCTATGATATGCTCTCTCCAATCATATAATGTGAAATTTCCACTGGTCCGCCAGTGAAGATGATTGCTACCCATGCATCAATTAATCGATTAAATATATTTGTACGTTCAAGTTGAATGCATAGAATTCTGTGTGTTAGAGTAGTTATTCTTTTGGGTTCAGTATGTAATTATTTTAACCCATACAAACACGAGAGAGCACTACAAAACGCCATGGTGATAACAAACATTTACTAAATAAAATTGAGATTCAGAAAAACGAGCAAATATGGGCCAACTAGGGAACACTGTCGTTTAATCATACAGAATAGTTCCTCAACTGGTGAAGGCATCGAGTTGCCCACTGACTTATGGCCTGCTGAAACGTAGAGATAGATTATTGGGATCAGACAAGACAAACTGGACCCATTTTTGGTGACAAAAAGATGTCATGACGTCACAACACCACGTGATGTTGCATTGACGTCATGTGACCCACAAGCGCAAGCTAGTCTTGTTTAATGGACTGCCAGAAAATACTGTAGTTGAAAAAGCCTTTTGACATAGTATTCTGCATTTTACTTTGATTGCTGCTTGCAATTCATATTTGCACCTATTCTCTTAGGTTGTCTTTGTCCTTCATATGTTATCCTGGGTCTTGACTATTTTAGCTTTACGAATAGCCAATCAGTTTGCTTGTAATCATCAATATGATTTCCAAATTCCACTGCTAATTTATACGTGTATTTACCCAAAATGTGCCTTTTTACATGCTTTTATTTAACTCACTCTGTTGTTGTCGTATCCTCAATCTTGTAACTCAATTTTAACCCACTTCCCAATGTGGTATCGACTGCAAACTTGGTATACTTATGTCATACTGATGACAATACTATATTCTATCAAAAAAATATATATTTTTTTAACATTTTTTTAAAATATGTTATGTTTCGGCTTGGGTCTAATTGTCCACGCTCAACTGACGTTGGCTGTAAATCACCACGGCCCTACGTTATGGCAAGCTTTGCGGCCACTTCCTGGAGTCGTGGAGTTCTGCCATTACGAGTACGGTACATTTCATTAAAGCGTGTTTAAAAATAGTATTTTTTAAATATTACTTATTCCTAAAGTGTTTGTTGAACTTGTGAAGTCAGTTTGTGCTGTGTAGAAACCTAAATTCCAAATTAGAAAGTACAAGAAGATTCTGTAAAGCTGTCCCCACATAATTAGCTTCACAATTCTCTCGTGTGGTAGTGATAATTATTCAAATAGGTCATACTCATTAGTCATTGGCTAGCCACTGCAGGATAAATTCCCCCTTATGCCATCACCATTCCTCATGGCCCATTATGCCACTGGCACATGAATAGATCTCATCGCTTCATCTGCGAAGTCACCCTTTGACGCATTCCCTTCATTTGCTACGGATCTGTTACCCTTCATGTTCATTGGCCAAATTTCGTTTTCACGTTGTGTCTTGGCTAAGCCCACTTAACAGTTAATGCGATGTCTCTGCTTGGCATTTGGCTTCCTAATTCATATGCACCTCTTTTCTGTTTTTCACTGCAATTCTGAACATGCTTCTATTAAAATCACGATGCTTCTATTCAAACCTTTTTAGTTTTTCTATTTGCTTTTGCCCCCCCCCCCCCCCCCTGCCTAATCTTGGTAAAATAAAGCACTTTAATTAATCTCGTGTTTGCTGCCAGAAAATGTTTGTGTTCAGTCGCGAGGTCAGCAGAGAGCTTTCGAAGCGGCAGTAGCAGCAGCGGTGACGACTGCACCGTGCTTAAAATAAGTGGGGTCAAGGGAGTCCCTTTGTCACGCGTCCATTCACGCATATAAGTACTCTTGGTCCCCCCAAAAATGATATGTTTCATTGAATTGGAAAAAAATCAATGTCACTCAATTGTGTGCAGTGGCCCCGTGCGTGTGATGCACATTCTCACATTGAATAGATCCCGGAGAAGAATTAATGGTTGAATGGAAGTGGTTCATTTTCGGTGGCTGCTGCTGCTATTGCTTCTGCTGCTTTTGAGTTGCACACTGCTGCAGAATTATAATTGTTTTCAACCGACCAGCTCATTCATTGTTGTTAGTAATTAGCCTTGCATGGGTTTAAAAATGGTTGTACAAATGGTCATGCTATTATTCAGTGGAAGCGTAGATGACCTTTATAACCAGGTAAGAGCCCATTGAATCGATAGATCTGTTGATCATTCCCCAGTGGAGACCTGTGTTAAATGAAGTTGAACAAAACAGCAAATGCCATTGTGTTAACAAAAAAACAAAGAATAAAAATAGAGATTGAATAATAGATAATACAATATGCAATCGTGAAATGTATATAATAATAAGCATTTGAAAAAATATATTTACATTACTCACGTTGCATTAGTTGGGTTGATGACCAAATCACCTGGAATTCACCTGATCCCTTCAGATCCTGGAAGCTAAGCAGTGTTGACCCTGGGTAGTGCTTGGATGGGTAACCACGATGCACTACATGTTTTGGGACAGCAGAGGCCATTGCAGCATAGTCCATTTTTACACTAACATTTTTAATGAGTTCCACTCTATGGAAAAGCAACAGTAAGACTAATTTTCGATTTAAAGCTTTCGTGACTGCAGGGATTCATCATCTTGGTTCTTTCGGTAAAGTCACGTAGAAGGGAAGTAATAAAATAATAAAAATATAACATAATAAAATACAATTCTCACGACGTTTCGGCCACAACGCAAGCAGCCGTCTTTCCGACAGACCTGCTCTTCACCTGAGGACGGCTGCTTGCGTTGTGGCCGAAACGTCGTGAGAATTGTATTTTATTATGTTTAATTTTTATTATTTTATTATTTCCCTTCTACGTGACTTTACCGAAAGAACCCAGAAGATGAGTAAGACTAATTTTGAGATACTGCCTTCCCACCACAGGAACGTGGAATTTTGATCATTGTTTGAAAACCAACAATAGAGATGAACACCAACCCACGTTCATTTCAGCACGGAGACAATTTGGCTCGATGTCGATTCACTTGATTAAAACTAAATCTTGCAATGTTCACATTTGAGATTGGGGGGCAGCAACCTTGGCATACAATACTCGTGTGAATGTCCTCATGAGAGGGGTTTTCTTTTATTGCCCAATTCACCACGTGCTTTAGCAATGCCATGCAGCGGTGAACAGGCACTGATGGCGAAACAATAGCATGAAATATGGCTCCATTGTAACAACGCTTACTACAAGGCTTTGGCCAGCTACCATAGATACAGTTATCAGATGCCTCCCAATACATCACAAGCAGAATGGACTTAAGCGTTGGCATTGTCTGAAACTAAGTTTCTATTTATAAGCGGGTAAGAGCCCAAAGGAATAAAGTCTGTGTTTTCGTTTTGTTAGGAAGTCAGACTCGGGCTTGATTTCAGATGCTGAGGCCCCATGGAAATAAGCAGCTCAGCAACAAGGATGACAACAGCCCAAGACCGTCGACAAGTTATTTTATAACCAGAGGAAAAACTAAAAGTTTTCACACGCAAAAAAAAAGTATTCACACCCCAAAACTTGCTGCAAACAGGATACACAATAAAGATAGCTTAAAAACAAATCTAAAAGTCGAAAAATCCCGTCAGTTGTTGTGTAAATACACCTTATACCCAGCCTCGGACATGATGCTATCACGAAGTTGCAGCATATGCGGTTGTGGCAGAAGCATTCCTACTTCATGGTCCTAAAACAAACTTGGCCAAGGTACATTTGGAATTGTAAATATGGAAATTAAGTATTAAATTATATATGACATGAAACGTGACGGAATTTACTGCACACCGGATAAACAGTAGATGATGGATCACATTTATTCAATGGACACAAGAGGGCACACTTTATATACAGCATAAACATTATGGAAGCTAAGTTATATTATTCAATCTTGATTTGAAGCTTTCGTGACTGCAGGAATCCATACTCTTTGATTCTTTCAGTAAAGTCACGTAGGTATAAAATAAAATAATTGTGGCAGAGGTCATCCTGCAGCATAGCCTTCAACCATGCTTAAGAAGCGACGTTTGAAATATGAAGATTGCTTCTGAGGACATTCTAAAATGTGGCTGCTCTGCAAGACAGAGCACTGGAACCAGCCTGAGTTCACAATCTGGACATGGTCATATGGGGTTGTACCCCTTTTTTCTGGCAACAAAACTGAAACCTTACAAGGAATCATGTGTGCATTAACCACAATACTTGTGGTCAAAATGCAAACAAAAAACACACTCTGATAATATATGCATTGTCCTTGACACTGATTGGTCCACACCAGAGACGGCTTTCTTTTGAGCCTCATCTGCATTGGTGCTAGACCAGAGGACGCCAAAAGGCATACAGCTCAAAGACAATTCACGATCAAAGTAATGAGGGCTCTGGTTAACATCTACATCATTAGACCTCCTTTGCCAGTACCAAAATATAATAATAGGGTTTTTCCCCTTTTTACAGGAATCATGTGTGCATTTATCACAATACTGCATTTTGACCACACGCATTGTGGTTAATGCACACATGATATTTTGTAAAAAGGTTTCAGTTTTGTTGCCAGAAAAAAGGGAGAAAACCCTATTATTATATTTTGGTACTGGAAAAGGAGGTCTAATAATGTAGACATGGTCAAAGAGCACTTAGGAGGTGTCCCCCGTAAGGATTCTTGAACTTTCTGTTGGGTGGGCAATGTTCGTTAAATGGTGAGCTGATTAGGATTCAAGAACTTTGAAGATCGTCGGCCTGCGTATATCTCTGCGTAATTCCAGGGAGGGTGAGGTTATTGTTAGAGTAAAGCTCACAGTGCAGAGTTCTCGTTAATGAAACATCGTTTTCTGGCACTCACAGTTGAGAGGTTGTAAGTAGAGACAATATATTGGGAGCATAATGGAGCGGTTCACCTCGCAAAGGCTTAACAGAATAGTAGAGGAAGTACCCCTCGCTCAGCAATGCCCCCCCACTCCTTCCCCCACCATTCCCATCTACCCACACTTGGGTGCCCCCCCCCCCCCCACTTGTGATTGCCAATCCTCCAGGCATCCCCATCCTCCTGTAACCCCCTCCCCCACCCTATAAACTTTAACAAAAATCTTCCAGGTAAGACCCACTGAGCTGTATTGCTCTTTTTCAGAAGCGACCTTGCATTCACAAATGATCACTCAACAAAGTGGCTTATCATCACGTGGAAATGTATAGCAGACGAATACTATAAACGCGTGAGGTTGATTCTAAATGTGGAGGGAAAAAAACGGAGGCCCCGGAAAAAAAAAAGCCACGCGCCCGCGGGAGAGAGCGACACGTAAATTCGAAATATACAGCAGGCGTCACTGTCGGGATCGAATCCACGACCTCCTGCATACCAGGCGAGGGAAATAACATCTCGCCACCATGGCACCTGCACCCCCTCTCCAAGCGCACCCTTGCCAGTGGTGCGTGGCCCCTCGTACCAGGCACCCTGCATCGTGGCCCCCCACCCCTCCCCCACCCTATGCTGGGCCCCTTTCCCCAGATATCACTCACTGGCAGAGGTCACAAACGGGGGTTGATTCCTTACCCGTACCCGTACCCGGCCGCACCAGGGTCGCAAACGGGTACCTGATTGCGACCTCTGGGATGAAGCCATGTTGCAGGCGCGGGTGGGTTGATTCTAGGAACTTGAATTGTGAGAAGAGACAAGACGTTGGGAAATGAGTGACAAACGGTGACTCACCAGTGACTCACGGCCTACCCGTACCTGTACCCGGCCGCACCAGGGTCGCAAACGGGTACCCGTACCGGCACCCGGCTGGGTACGGGTTGCCGGGTATCGGGTAGGGTACGGGTATCGGGTACCCAGTTGCGACCTCTGCTCACTGGACGTGAAGCAATGGGGAGGGAGCCAATGAGAACACTGCGGGATGATCAACGGCACCACGGCAAATGTGTATCTATTTATATAGATGTACTGCTGTGGGAAAGCCACGGGACTCGTCCTGTGTTACGACTGGCTCACCTGCCCCATCCACCCATTCAGTATATTCATATATACATAAGAAGCACTGCCTTTTTGAGAAACATCAGCAAGCATTCGATTAACGCAAGGTGAAGTGCTTTTGTAATGACACTGCACGTCGCCCCAAAGGCGGCACAAGCACCGTGGTGATGTCACCGCCACTTAGCGGCGGTCGTCGTGTGTGAATTAACGTGTGTATATGTATTTGGTTATGTTTTTCTGTGTGTGTGTAGCCGTGAGCCCAGCGGTGTCGTTCCTGCTGTCGTCGCTGCTGTCCCTGCTGCTGTTTGCCGGCATGCAAATGTACAGCCGGCAGCTGGCGGGGGGCGAGTGGCTCACCATCTTCGGAGGATTCCTGGGATCTGTGCTCTTCCTCTTCTCCCTCACCGTATCCTTGGTGGCAGAGCCCGGCATGGCTGCCCTTCCCCCCCCCCCCAGTCGAGAGCAGCCGGGCGGATCGTGTGTCTGGCGTTCCTGCGTTCTGGCTTGTTGCACCACTGAGCCAACCGCGGCCCCCCCCCCCCCCCCCCCCATTGTATTTTAACACTGGTCAACACACTTTTTCTGGAATAAGGTATTCCAACGGTTTTAAGGTAATTTTGTCTATCACATCAGGTTTTTGAGATATCAAATATTGCATTTTCAATAAAAACTGCAGAAGAAAAATATTAAATGTGGATATCTACATAAAATGATATTATAAACACACTATCCTAAAAATACAGCACCATATTTTAACACTAACGCAGTCACTGACTCGCAACAACTTGCAATCATAAGTGACAGAGTTAATTTTGGGTAAAATCAATGAAAATGGGGTATGCCGATAGCATAAAAATGAGATGTGATTGAGCAAATCTGAGATCAGATTTGGAATCAGCATCCTGAAATTAGTCTAAAACAGCTGCAAAAGTCCAGGCCAAAATTTGTTATTGTTGACCAGTGTAATCGGCCCAGATTCCACCTTTAACTCTGAGGCTCTTAGCAGTGCATTAATTCAGGATGTGTAGGATTCAACCTTTTCTCGTTTAGATCAATGTTCGTGGATTTATTAACAAATATGTGAATCCACGTCGGTGCAAACAAAAAGAAACAAAAAGCACCAATGCATCCGTATGAATCTCACATGCAATCCGGTGCTTGTATAATGAGCATAATTTTACTTCAATCGGTGATTGTCACATCTGTGGTGGCAGCACTTGTGATAATGTAGTTGGAGCACTCGATTCGCAATCTTCTCTCCATTGTTGATGAAACGACTACTGCCTTGATGGAAACACAACTGTTGTTGTTCTGTGGATAGAAACACACCTGCCATACTAACGTGGAATTTACACCACTGGCTGAGCACAGCTAATGGATTTGATCACTACTTGATCATGAAACTAAATTTCGATTTAAAGCTTTCGTGACTGCAGGGATCCATCTTCTTGGTTCTTTCGGTAAAGTCACGTAGAAGGGAAATAATAAAATAAAAAAAATAAAACATTTTATTATGTCACGTAGAAGGGAAATAATAAAATAATAATTATTAAACAATAAAAAGAAAACATAATAAAATATGTTGCATTTTTATTATTTCCCTTCTACGTGACTTTACCGAAAGAACCAAGAAAATGAAACTAAACTCAACAATTTTTTTTATTTTACTAGGTAAGGCCCACTGAGCTATTTTGCTATTTTTCAGAAGTGACCTGGCCACAAATGATAGCTCAACGAAGTGGCTTATCATGTGGAAATTTACAGCAGCCAAATACTCTACGTATATATTGCTCAATGTGGAGGAAAAAATCGGAGGACCAGGAGAAAAATGCACACTCATTAGAGTGGAGTGACATCTTAACTTGTGGCAAAAAACCATCCTTCACATAATGATGTCTTTCTACTCTAAAATGAGCAATGCACATTCCCAATGTTTCATTGGATGTTGAGTACTTAGACCTGTAATTTGATGTAAAAAAATAATGATGCCGATGATAACAATGCAGGTAATGATAATAGATGTATCCATATTGTCAAATACCGTGAGTTGAAAAAAATGAGCGGCTCCGGTTACTAATTACCCCATTGAGGAATGTCTCTGCTCTCGTTATCATCACGAGATGTAACTTGATTCCGCTTCAAAGCCCACAGTATCACGTGGGTACAAAAAAAATGCCGATTCAGCACTACACGCATCTCTGGCTTAAAACGCAATTTTTCAATTTCATTTATTGATGTATTGGGTGCAACGGCATAAACTTAATCTGTGATTCGGGGGCAAGGTTGATGGATCACACCAAAACACAGCCTGCAGGGCAAAGAGGAGGCAGTATCAGCGAGTAGGTTCGTGAACTATTTGTTGTAGATTGAAGCGTGCTGTCCCCCGTTCTCCGTGTGGATTTTCTCCTCTCTTATTCTGATCTGGAGCTCTGCCTTCACGGTGGCTCCTTGGCTGACATCCTTGCCATCCTCTGTTATCTGCCTTCCTCTTTTCCACAAATGCCCCTTCAGCTCCTCAAACATTCCAAGCGTCCGGCTTCATTCTTTCTCTTAAATTCTTCTGTCTATGATGTCCTTCATCAAACTGTCTTCATGGTGACTTACGTAGCTTTTCTGTACTCTCCTCCCATTTTATCACACCCCACATACTAAAAAGTCAGAAACGCTAAATGAGCCTTGCGTAAAGTATTGAAATGCTTACTATCATTGATCATAAATTAAATTTTTATTATTATCACCGTCATAATCATCAGAACCGCTAGGCTGATATTTTTTTGCTCGTGGAAGAAAAACCAGAGCTTCTTGGAGAATGCCCACTCGCACAAGAGGATAACATCGCCTAAAAATCTGCACAGTCAAATGGACGTGAACCCACTTTCTGTACTGCCAATGGACTGGCAAGCAGGTTTGGGAGTTTCACAACACACAATGATCACTGTGATCTGCCTATCCCCACCTCCAAAATGCTGAATGGGGTTATATTTTTTGAAAGAATCAGAACATCCAACCCTATGCGAACTGGTCCAGTGCTGACCATTCTGACCACTGTTTATCCCTGCTGCCGAAATATTTTAAATGTATACAATGTTTATTTTTCGGTTCAGCGTAGCCCCATGATTTAGACAAGAGTGCTCTTGCCAATAACGTCCTGTAACCCAGCAGAATTTGTTTAACAAGCCTTGACTTGCTGATGACACCCCGAATGTCTTGCTTGCCTTAACATACGTTGCTAGATAATGTTGGTTTGCAGAGCCAACAGGCTGATGTAGTTTTAAAAATAAAAATGTACAATTTGAGACACGGAACAGAATTACGCTTGCACAAGAATAATGACGAGGTCATGCACACAGCAGGCCAAGTAATAATAAACCGCAGCTACACTTTTATTATTCCGCTCTCGGCTTCTCTCTTGGGCTGCCGCCGCTCTCTATTCGAATGCTTCGGCCCGGAGCCTCCTTTGCCTTTTAGTCACCGCTGGGCCACTTTAATGGAGACCTTGAAAGCGGCCATTTATTTCACCGCAGGCCTTTCCCGGTTTAAAGCCCGAAGACTCACTTCCTTCCCTGTAATTTGGAAGCAGATGCGTTGCTCGTACGGAGGCGGTGTGCGACGGCGTCGATGCGAGGGGGCGCGCAGCTGGTGTTACCTGTGGCGTGAAAAATCGCCTAGACGCTCGTAGGTGGCGGCAGTGGCTTCGTGGTTAGCACGCTCGACCCGAATCCCGTTGGTCGTAGGCAGAGGTCGCAACCGGGTACCCGATACCCGTACCCTACCCGATACCCGGCTACTCGTACCTGGCCGGGTACAGGTACCTGTTTGCGACCCTGGTGCGGCCGGGTACGGGTATGGGTAGACCGTGAGTCACTGGTGAGTAACTGTTTGTCACTCATTACCCAACGTCTTGTCTCTTCTCACAGTTCAAGTTTCTAGAATCAACCCACCCGCGCCTGCAACATGGCTTCATCCCAGAGGTCGCAATCAGGTACCCGATACCCGTACCCTACCCGTACCCGGCCGGGTACGGGTACCCGTTTGCGACCCTGGTGCGGCCGGGTACGGGTAAGGAATCAAAACCCGTTTGCGACCTCTGGTCGTAGGTTCTACTCCAGCTTGCTTCGGCGCTGTGGAAACATTGGCATTGCAAAAACGTGTAACTCGTCGCAACGGGACACCAGCATAGGGGGAAGCAATACGATGGGAATCCTGATCAAAGGGCAACAAAGCTGATCATCAATAGATGGCTGCTAAAATCAGTGAAGAGAGATATGGAGAGAGTGGCTCCCGGGATATAGGAGTATTGCATTTCTTTTAGATTTGAAGCTTTCGTGACTGCAAGGATTCATACTCTTAGGTTTTTTTGGTTAAGTCACGTAGGGAAAATTAAGTAAATAATAAAATAATAGAAATAATAATAATAAAATAATAAATCACGACGTTTCGGAGGCAACACAAGTTTCCATCATCAGGTGGGACCGTCACAGCTAAATTTACTGTATCCTCACTTGATACGTGATTTATTATTTAATTTCAATTATTATGTCTATTATTTTATTATTTACTTATTTTTCCCCTACGTGACTTTACCGAAAAAACCTAAGAGTATTGCATTTCTTACCCACTGGAAATGATTGTTGGCCCAGATCTTGCATGAGTGGAGGAGGTGCTTTGCCTCGGCTTAGCATTGTTCAATATCGCACGGCATCATTAGCTGATGTTTGATCCTCGTCAATGATTTCCCGTGCTCTATAACATCCACTTTCCAGTAGACTGCACGCTTTGGTAATTGCATCGGCCCGCAGTGTTAAAACATGTTCGCTGAAAGGGGTTCATAATGGCTCTTGTTCGGCGCTAATTTTCTTCTGGATTGAGGCCAAGTTGGACGGGCACAGGGAATTCCAGTCCCTTGACGTTGAAATAAATCACATTATACCTGGGCAACAATGGCTACATTGTCCCGTCTGAATGCTTGGCAGCCCACGGACAGTTAGCGTTCAGTGCGCAAGTACGAGCACGATCGAATCGCCCATGAAATGACGGGGAGAGGTAGCTGCCCCAACAAAAGTTGAATGGTACTGTTGAAAGTAACGTTGTTTAAAAAAAAGGATTGTCAAGTTTTATTGTCATATTGGTTTGCACGTGCCCAAAACTACCTTGTTTGTTATAAAAACTGGAAAAAATGTAGAAATTTGCAAAAAGGTTGAGACGTCTGCAGAAAAATTAATGGGAGAACATACCGAGGTAATTGTGCAAAACCCACACTCACGAGAGGAGAGCGGTTTGCTCCTGACAATGTGGGGCTGTGGGCACCACGGTGGTGAGGTGTTAACTACCTCGCCTGGTATACAGGAAGTCATGGGTTCGATCCCAACCCCGACGCCTGCTGTATATTTGGAGTTTGCATGTTCTCCCGGTAGTCACGTGAACTTTTCTCCGGGTCCTCCGTTTTCCCCCCTCATTTTTAGTTTAAAATAGTTTCATGGGCAAAACCCACCCTCACGAGAGCTGGCTACCCAGTACCATCCACGTCTAAAGAATTGCCCGTGAGGAGAGCAATTTGCTACTGACAATGTGGGAATGTGGGCTGAGGGAATGAGTGCTTTGAGAGGTGAAACTTATTCCAGGCTGAGTCCAAAGGGCGAAATACATTTACGTAGTCCTTCCATCGTATTATTAGAATGCTTTGGTTTACCCAGAAAAGCCTCGCCGAGTTTCGAGACATTTTTCAGAAGGGTCCTGCCAAGTTTTCGCAGGAGAGGGCGACGCTGCTGTTTCTGCTGCTCTCTGCATTCCAAATTAAAGTAATTTTGCCGGGAATTTTTTCCTACGTGGATGCCTGTCCAGTACCAGTAAAAAAATGTTTTACGTTATTTTTGCTATGGGCGGGAAACTGGAGAACCCAGAGGAAACGCAAGTCGAACAAGGGGAGAATTTACAGATAGGTACCCCAGTTGTCAATCAAACCCAGGCAGCCCACAGATGATACATTTAAAGAAAAAGAATACATGCAAATATATAAATGAGCTATTAATTCAGAGTCATGTTACATTGGGTGGGATACTGGGCAATCCAGCCTCAAGATCACAGGGAACCTCACCGCAGCACGTGACCAGCATAACGCGGACCAAAATTAAACGATGCAACTGTGTTGGCTAAACATCGCAGTGCTGAAAACTTCTTTGCCGACTACAACGTCACCGCAAAATGCAGAAACTTGACAGGACCCTCCTGAAAAAAGAGTCTTGAGACTCGGGTGAGACATTCCTGGGTATACGAGCCTCTCAAAAAAATGTACAGTGATGTTATAAACGCCATTAAACCCTTCGCTTATAACACAGACATTTTGAGCCTTACCGTGTGGAATTTACGTAGATTCTATGGAAACTTAATGCATTCATCATGGGACCTCCTTTGCCAGTACCAAAATATACTAATAGGGTTTTCCCCCTTTTTTCTGGCAACAAAACGGACACCTTTTGCAAGGACTCATGCTTACATTAACCAAAATACTTGCAGTCAAATGCAAACAAAAAACAATACTCTGATAATTTATGCATTGTCTTTGAAACTGATTGGTCCACACCAGAGACAGCTTTCTTTGGATCCTAGTCTCATATGGTGTTCGACCAGATGACGCCAAAAGGTCGAACACCATATGAGACTAGGCTCCAAAGAAAGCTGTCTCTGGTGTGGACCAATCAGTTTCGAGAACAATGCATAAATTATCAGAGTATTGTTTTTTGTTTGCATTTGACTGCAAGTATTGTGGTTAATGTAAGCATGATTCCTTGCAAAAGGTGTCAGTTTTGTTGCCATAAAAAAAGGGGAAAAACCCTATTAGTCGTAATGCATTCGCCGAACCGATTAATCGAAAGCAGCAATCGACAGAGCAATTGATTATTTCAGCCGGTCACCGTGGCAGCTGTTCCGTGGCCGTAACGTTGTAACGCTGGCGGAACGACGTGTGTAAATAACGACGGCCTCGTCAAGGTCACTCATCGCTTTCCGCGTCGGGTCACGAACTTTTCAATCGCGCTGCCGTAACGTGCGCGGGGAAGGGCGGCTCGGCTGGAGGGATTAGGCCGAGGGGCCGTGACGGCGAGAGGCGGCCCCCCGTGATTGATGCGTCTCGAGGTGGCGCGCGGCGGCGAGCCCGAGCGAGCGAGCGAGCGTGAGCTTTCTGCCGCCTGTAATGAACCCTCTTGAGTGATCGTCGGTAATCGCCGCGCTTTGCTCGAGCTGCGAGGTGATCCGCGAACGCTGCCGCAGCTGCCTCTGTTATTGTTCATTCATTAGGTTATGAGCTCATCTCTTTCCCCTTAGGCAGAAAGCTCCCGTGCTCGGCTGCGGGGCAATGAAGTGTCTGCGCTTTGCGATCGCGACGGCGCAATTCCATTTGGATTTCACGATGAGTCTTTAAGTGCACTTGTATTTCAAGGTGCTGTGCAATCGGGGAAAGGGCAACAACGCATCTGATGAACTAGATTGCCGGGGTAATAATGATCTAATGTAAAACGGATTGCGGCGGGCTCCGGTACATCTCTTGCTTTAAGAGTTTCAAGCCGTTTTGCGCAAGTGTCGGAACAGGAGGACAAATGGAAGTTTAGACGCATTAGTCACGTTGACTTGAGGAAAGTGGGCAGGGCACGTCCGTAGCTAAAAGTGTTGAATGGCCACTGGTCGAGGAGCAGCAGCAAAGCGGTAGCCAAAGGAGGGAAGGTTTGCCCCAACAGGAAGCATGCAGTGCAAAGAGGGAGCAATTAAATCATCTAATGCCGGTACTAGATGGCAGAGGTCGCAACCGGGTACCCGATACCCTACCCGATACCCAGCTACCCGTACCCGGCCGGGTACGGGTACCTGTTTGCGACCCTGGTGCGGCCGGGTACGGGTAGGCCGTGAGTCACTGGTGAGTAACCGTTTGTCACTAATTTCGGGTAGGGTACGGGTAGGGAACGGCTACCCGTACCCGGCTGGGTACGGGTACCCGTTTGCGACCCTGGTGCGGCCGGGTACGGGTAAGGAATCAAAACCCGTTTGCGACCTCTGCTTGATGGGTTGTTGCATCGCAGGACCTTGATGGATGGCGATGGCTTTGGGGAGACAGTTCAGAATTAGGTTGATGGCTGATGATTAATTGAACAATGGAATTGTAGGATAGAATGATAAGTCGGTTTTAGTCCAAATTTAAATTGGCTCCCTGTGTGAATGAGCCATGGGGTAGTGCTCACCTCTGTTGGCTGCCCTGAGCGGTGGAAATTCAACATTCCTATGCCCTTGGGCCTTTGTCTTCAAATCAACCCCTGTTTACTTCCAACCAAAGTCGTTCTTATTTTGTTGTGTAGGGGTAGTTGGTGATCACAGCCTGATCACGAGTGAAAAAATAAACTCCATTAAAGTTGGTTCCTCATTGAAGCCTGCGTTTTATGCCCTGAATGCTACATATTTGGGTTTGATTGAGGGCATAAAAAATTGTAGAAAATGCGCACAACATGGGCCATTAAAGCGACTCCAGCGCCAGTTCTGTGTCTTGTCATTCTCAGGGGCAGCTCTCCTTGCTGCGCACAGTTGCGATGGAATGGAAATTTCATCTCGCGACACGCTGATGGCGCAATTGGAAAGAGAATTTGGGGAAGGGAAATAAAGGAGAAATCGAGCCTTCTGCCAGGTGTTTTGAGCTCCTTGCTGCCACGGCAGACAAAGCATGTGCGCGGCACAATAGGGGAACGCGACGTGATGATTATTTATGATAAGGGCGCGGACAAAAAAAACACACGGTCGTGTTCGAGCGATGAATGTGCGGTTTCCTTAATGCCCTCGCGCAGGCTTTCAACAACCTGGAGAGCATCATCTTTGGCAAGGGATTCCAAGCCAGGATATTTCCAGAGAGTAAGCACCGTTTCCAGAAATCAATTCGAGAGACACGACAAAGAGTGGGCAAGCTCCCGGTCAAATTGAGGACATCGGCCCTCGTCCCCTGTGTACAGCCCTGCAACGGCCAGTTGGGGGATATTCCCCGTTCCTATGGCAGTGGCGAGTCTCCCCCGTTGGACAGCCACGGTTGACATTCCCCCGCAAAAGTGGTTGCTCATTGTGTTTGCCCGGAGGGATGATGGGCTTAGTCAACCCCCCACAATCAGGATGCGAACTCCGCGACCTTGCAATTGCAGGCCGCTCAATCTATCGTCGAGCAGCCACCTGGCCGGATTAACAAAATCACAAAAGGTACCTTGGATATAAACCAGGGGAACCTCGGTGGTAAGTGCATATGTGGCTTCACTGGAGCATTAAATGGGCAGTTAGAGTTATCGCTATGGTAATCTTTCTATGTATATATATGTGTATATAGCGGAGCGGTGGTACGGTGATTAACGCGCAGGCGCTGTGAACCCAGCGACTGGAGTTTAATTCCCAGCCACGGTTAATGTCAGGGGTGAGTGATGTCGGAGCTGATATTCGCCGACCATCACAAATTGGCAAGGTGAGGTATGGTCGAACAGATCCCGTGACCAAATGTATGAAAAAAAATCGATGTAATCTGACCAAGTGGTGCTAGGGATAGCGCCCACTGACTTCATAAGCATGGGTTTGAATCCCAGCCAGGGGTGTAACTCGTACAATCATCCCTCCACTCTCAAGAAAATTCAAGAATTGGTCATAATATGGGAAGAGTGGCCACCTTTGACAAGTGGTGATTGTGTTGAACCCTAAAGCTGACTGTTTCTCAATGGTGTGCGTGTCTGTCTGTGTTGCAGTTGCGCTATGCCTCCTGCTATCCATGTTTGCCTCCGGGCTTATCCACAGGGTGTGCGTCACCACGTGGTACGTATCTCCATCCCCGTTGCTCCCCAAGGGCGGCAGGCTTTGGTTAGCTTGCAGTAGGCGGTTACATTGCCCTACCGTTGGGCAGGCTGTGCTTTAGTTGGGGCAGTCAATTTGCAATCGTAATGGTGAACTAAACATCAAGTGGTGGATTGTGGGTTTAACCGTGCGAGAGCACGGGTTAGGAACCAATCGCCGCATTCGTCATTCACGCTGCCTCTAACCAAGTTGCCTAGAATGCACCTGATCCCGTCAGGCCTTGGAAGCTAAGCAGGTGTGAGCCTGGACAGCACTTTGGTGAGCGACCGCCATGCATGTATGGATGTTGAGCCTCTTTCGCGCCGGTATGTAGGAAACCGTGCAAATCGGAGGTGCATAACAGGTGTTATAGGCTGTGGGGCTCGACACTGGGCCCTCAGAGGGCAGTGGGGCACGACATGGTTGTGCTGTACTTCCGTGTCCCCATGTCGATGCTCCCCCGTGTATCACAGCAAATTGTATAATTGGCTGACACTTCAGACCACGAAAGCTCTTGAGAGTGGAGAGAGTGGAGATCACACGAGTCGTCGCAGTGCGTGGCGTGATTTCCTTCTTTGACGTTGCAAGTTTTGAGGCCGCGAGTTAAAATGCAAATCGGGGGGGTCAACCCTTCCATTCCTCCCTCCAGATTTAATACAAACGGCGCACTACCTTTGTGTGAAACCAACAGCGGGTTGTCGTGTGGTGAGACTGCCCCCCCCCACCTACCCCCTCCAGTGTAATGTGGAATTTCCACCACCGTGGACCCGAGGGCCAACCGGTGGAGATGAGCACCAGACCCCCGTCGTGCTCGAGTAAAACGAAAGCCACTTTTGACTTTGACCTGTTCAGCGTGAATGTATGCGTACAAGCGTGTCTGTGTGTGCGTACAAGCGTGTCTGTGTGTGTGTACAAGCGTGTCTGTGTGTGCGTGCGTTGGTTGGGTAACGGGGAGCGGCAGTGTAGCGGTCAGCGTTGCTGCACAACGAACCCAGCAACTTGAAGTGCGATTCCTGCTCAAGGTCAACACCAGTGACGATTACACTGTGTAACAAAAAAATATATTTGTTCCTATGTGGTAAGTGTTATTTCCTAATTGCTTATGCCTCCTAATTGCTTATGCCTCCAAGGTACAGAAAATTGCTATGATTCCCCACAAACTTTGCTTTTGTGACCAAGACATTGATATTTAGAAATTGACCTATTTTCAATGAGAAAACGTGGTGTGCGTTTGTGTCTTTCGTTCACGTAACGTCCTGGTCACAAAAGCAAAGTTTGTGGGGAATAATAGCCATCTTCTATACTTTTTAGGCATAAGCAATTAAAAAAACAACACTTAGTACCCAGGATCAAAAATTGTGTTACATCGTGTTATCTAAGCCAGTCGTCTGAGCGTCCCCTAGGTCGTCTCAGCCTGTATTGAGTACCGGTATTGTGTGTGAACATCGCCATAGGGGAGACAAAGGCGGCCAGGAATTGTGCTGATCACCTGACACCCGCGCGTACCGTGCCGACCTTCGCGGGTGCTCGCTACAGCACTTGCCCCAAAAATCTGTTCAGGCTATGCAGGGGATCTTTGTCTTTCCATGTTGGGTATCTACAGTGTGTGTTACGTGCGCGTTTGGTAGACGTGTGTGTAGGCCTCGGCAAGGTAAGGTAATTTACCCTTTTTACCGGGTAAAAGGGTAAAGGTAAAGGTGTCGACATGCCAAGGGATAAGGGTAAAGGGTAGGGTAAAGGTAGGCTCGTTGTTTTTACACTTTTACCTTACCTTGCCGAGGCCTACGTGTGCGCATCGTTTTTTGCGCGGAAAATAATTAACGGCGGGGGGGTTTGTAGCAACGTTATAAAAGTACGCGTTTTGCAGGTTTAATAACCATAAAAAAAAAACATTCTACGAGCGTTGTTGCACCGTGTGAACAGGGAGAGGAATTGTGGCGCTCCGCGCGAGAGAAACGGCGCGGCAAAGTGGAATCGGCCATCACTGAGAGTCTTATTAAAGCATTCGCTTCCTTGCGTCCGGTTTGCTTGCACGCAAAGAAACCTCCCCCCCCCGCCCCCCGCCCACTGCACCTCTCGTGCCGTGCGGCATGAATAGAGAAATATGATAATAATGCAGCTCATTAGGATGAGAGATCGTGGTGCCGTCGCCACAATGCATTCATCAAAAATTGGCAAGGCCCACAGACAGTAAATCTCGTCAAGTAGAGGGAGCAGATTATTTTAGGGGTAGGTATAGTGGGGGCGGTGGGGGCAGAGTGGGTTGGTAGAGAGGGGATGTGTTCGGGGTCGGGTCCCCAAATGGGACTTGATTTGCATTCTTTTAACCCTTTCCCGTTCTGAGAAGTCTGCAGCCGGGGCGTGGTGTCGGCCACCCACCCCCTCGTGTGCCGTGCCGGCCTTCATAGGTGCTCGCTAACAGCACTTGCTCTTAACAGTCCATCAAAGGCTTATTGCGGTGCATCGTTGTCTTTGTGTGTGTGTGAGTGCAGCTTCATATTCTCCCTGGTGGCGCTCTACTACCTGAATAAGATCTCGTCGACCGTATACCAGTCGGTGCCTACCGCGCAAGCGGCCGTCAAGCCAGTGAAGAGCAAGAAGAAGTAGAGCTGCCGAGGGCCGGGGAGGGGGGGAGAGACGCGACGCCGACCAGACTAAGTCAACCAAATGTTAGCGGAGAACCAGTGTGACAACAACAATAACAGCTGCTCCACACACGTTCCTCTGTGTGGTCTTATCCGCGTGGGTGCATGCAATTGTGAGCGAGCGAGCGTGTGTGTGTGTGTGTGTTTGTCGGGAGTGGGCGTCTTTGTTATGGTAATCACCTTTTCATATTACGGCACTCGAGGATGCGGTCATGTCGGTCGCCGCCGCCGTCGCGCGCCTGGCTGCCTTTCCTCCCTCGCCCGTGCCGATGTTGACCACACCGCCGCCCTCCCCCCCCCCCACCTCTCCCGAGGTTGTAATTTCAGGCCGAGTGACCGTTCACTGTAGGGGAAATTCGCCAACTACTGCTACCGCTCTTCCCGCGAACACACTTGCCCCTGACACTCTAGAAGGTCAAACTTGGTGGGGGTGCGGGGAGGTGTCTTTGGTGGTTAGCAGACTGCGCTGCAGTGGCCAGCAATCTGCCGTCCATTTTCCGGGGCTCGTGCATTGGCTGTCTAAAGCAGCGTGGCACCCGCTGACAGTGAGCAGTCGTGTCGACTAAACAATAAAAAAACTACTGCGTAGGCCAAGATGCGAGCTGTGATCGCAACGCGTCGCGGCCTGACGAAGCGGTTCAGCAATAATGCAATCTCGCGACCGGTTTCGACCTTCTGGATCTCATCGACGGTGCAAGGGTTCTTGCCCAAGTAATCGGTTGTGAGATTGATGATAAAGTGGCTGGTCGCTCTGCAAAGTGAGTTTTCGTAGTTTTGTCGGCAGAACTGATCCGCATGAGCAAACCCCCGTGTCTCGCTTGCGGCAGCCGGTTTACATTGTACTCTTTCATTCCCAGACATCCGTACGTACACTTTCCGTATTGGGGTTTTGGGTGCGTGTTAAGTGGACTCGCTCAGCTCTCGGAGGCTGGTTAGCCGACTCTGGGCGCTCTTTTGTGGACGGCAGGCATACTTGGGGGTTTTCCACCCTGATTTTGTGCAGCCTTCATAGTTCACAGCGGACTTGTGTTATCTAACACGTTGATCGCCTCACTGCCACGCGCTGTTATCGGTCACAGCCGTGGGTCAGCCTTCAGGTCAATTCAGCCTAACATTAGTGTCTGGTGTTGGTATTGTAGACGAAGGCCAGTGAGACAGAGACAAGCCTGGCTTGCGTGTCGTTCGTTAGTGTGCAGAGCTGAGCCGAGCCTGCCCGATTAGGTGTCCACCAAACAACTGCAGCCCCAACGTCCTTTGTACAACTTAACGGGGACATCTGTGTGCGCGTGTGTATGTGTGTGTGTGTGCGCCCATACGAGTGTGTGCCCAAATTAGTCTGTGTCATAACGTGGCAGAACATATACGTGTGAGTTTTGGCAGCCAACTTATTAACAGGAACAACACCTTAATAAAATGTGATTTGTTAAATTCTGAACAGTGTGTTTCATTAGCAGGGGTTTATGCTGATTGTTCTGTTTTGCCCGTTATAATTACTTAACCGAGGCATGTTTCATTTATACACGCAGCACATAATTATTCCCCATATCAGTCAATTTGCACTGTGGTGTTTGGTGCGTATACAATGCATGGCTGATTTGCAAAGCATCTAAAATGCAACTGCACCAGCAGACCACCGTTACATTAGTTAGTGTGACACGATCACCGTATAAGCGGTCTTGTAAATATTATTCGCATGCACGGAGGTCGGCAAACCTGCAGCTCTGAAGCTGCGTTATTCACACGCATTAGGGCTCTTTAAATATTGAGTTTTTTTAAACCGAATTCGAAATAAGTATAACCCGTAAAAACAAAGTTTTTCACTCTAAATCCTTTATATGCGTGGCGGCTAGAGTCCTCTCGTCCTTTGGCTTGAGATGGCTGCCACCTATGGGTCAGATGATTGTCTGCCAGTATGAAACAATTGGTAATTAAATATTTAAATTGTTTTCCCTAAACAGTGTAAAATTTTGGAAAAAAATTTTCACGAACATTAATTGTCTCGCACAACGAGTCTGTGTGCAAAATGTCAGCTCGATTGGATCACGGGAAGTGGGTTAAAAAACGACCGAAAGATTTGCACGGTCGTAAGCGCGCAAGCAAGCAAGCGAACTTTATATAAAGGATTTTAAAAATGCCGGACCCCTTCCTGCACTGGTAGGTGAGGTAGGGAATCACGATTTTTACTCAAGACTAGAGGAGCGATGAGCTGTGAAGCCGTGTTTCGCAGGTCCAGTTTGGGACGGATTTGAATGGGGACAGGGACTCCACAGCACAGATGCCTGGGCGGCGGGGCGGGGGGGATGGAGATCGCAGTGGAGGTTTATTGTGGGCTTTTGGCAGAAGACGTTGCTTGTTGGAGCGGAGGCTGTGGAGGGGAGTAGAGTGCATGGGGGGGGGGGGGGGGGGTAAAGTGAGATGAGAGGCTACGAAAGCATCTGTGGGGGAGGGAGGAATCATTCTTAGGTTTTTTCGGTAAAGTCACATAGGTAAAAATTAAAATTAATTAAAGTTAAATAAAAATCACGACGTTTCGGAGGCAACACAAGCTGTATCAAGTTGTATCAAGTAAGAACTCTCTTACTTGATACAGCAATCGTGCTGTGACGGTTCCACCTGAAGACGGAAGCTTGTGTTGCCTCCGAAACGTCGTGATTTTTATTTTACTTTTATTAATTTTTACCTACGTGACTTTACCGAAAAAAACAAGAATCTGAACCTTGCAGTCACGAAAGCTTCAAATCTAGGGAGGAATCAGTTGGTAGACTTGTTCAATCGCACCTTGCTGTTGAACCCTCTGCTCATAGTATACCGTTCGGGGCTTAAAGAAATAAAGTACTGTACCTGGTTGCGCTTTGCAGGGAAGTCAGCGGTGGTTGCCCTCTTGAATAAAGTACCACTCCACCCCACCCACCCGCGCCCCTTGTGCGACGGGCTGCTGAAATTGCCACCGTTGGCTGGGGAGAGCCGTGGGAGACGGGAGGGGGCCACGCTTGAACCTCGTCACTTCGACGCGAGTAAGCGTCGGAATGACGTGACGGCATTCGTGTATTCAAGGCGAGCAATGAACAGTGTTATTTGGGCAGGTCACAGCCCCCCCAGTTGATGTAAAAAAATGTCTTGGGAGTGTAGGGTTCAAGCGGTGTTTACTCAAACAAACCTCGAGAGTGCCTGTCGTGTGGCAGGCATCTCCATTGGCACCTGAGCAAATCGGGCTGAAATGCCACGTTCCCAGAGGCAGAAAAGCCAGATATCGGACACGCTGCAATTCTCACGCCGCCGAGTGATCCTCAAGTTACTAAATCATCGGCCAATCTGCCCTCCCAACCACCATCAGGATTTGAACTCTGTCGACATTCAAAGCGTGTGGCAGTGCGCACAGCATCATTCGGCCGGATGCCACGGACTCGGCGGGTTCTCAAACAAAAATGCAGCATTACAAATATATTATACACTGATTATGTCTTCAATACAAACAAAACACTAGCTTCAGACGTGATGATTTGTACCGTGCTGCATGTATTATTCCATGTTACAGGAGGGTGGGGTGGTGGTGGACCAGCGGTGAGTGCACTACGCTATGAAACCTGAGTTGGATTCCAGGCCACTGCTAAAAGCAAAGTCGAGCCTCAACCTTTTCCGCTAACGTTGAATCAATCGGCACTGGCCAGCTTGGTGAAGTATGGTCAAACCACCTCCATTACATGCTGTGGCCTTCATCCAGCAGTGGATTGTCATGGGGCTGTTTACAATTGGGCACGACTCCAGATTCAATATGAAATAAATACAACTTGAAATGAAACGTCAACACTGATCTTCGATAATGGTTTCAAATGCACAACAGATTGAGTCACACATGCAAGCATCCATTGCTGCATCTTAATCATTTCAACCCCACCAAACCGTGCGGTTTGTACACAAACCAGACCGTTCCTGGGTGTTGCTTGTGTTGAATCAGTCCTGAAATTATTTACTCCCATGGGATGTGTAAAATAATGCATAGTTACGTGGAAGGACGGATACGGGAATAGGCGTAATTATATTAAAGTAAGTATTTTGAAAGGCTTTTTGCTTTTGCATGGAACATAATATGTGATAGTTAAATCTATCCAAGCAAAACTCTGCTCTGCCTCCAAATGTAAATACAAGTGTGATTTAGTCCGTCAGTCTATTGGATTACCAGATAGACATCCTCAAGCATCATGCGTCTAAGCAAAGTGTGGATCGGTTTTGGCTCTGGGTTGAAAACACAACACGCTGCTTCATCATTGATGGTCTTGTAAAGTCGATAGGCGACCTAACTAAAATGCACGTCTACATTCACGTGGAGAGAGAACGCAGGTCCGCTTATATTTTCATGCACCCATGTGGTGCTACACAAGTTTCTTTGCAGCTTCAGAGGAAGTGCAGAAGGACCGAACTTTAAATAAACATCAAGGAAATACAACCTTAGTTTGAACAAAAATTACATTTTTAACACGTACTTCATAATCCTCTTCGGTGCATTTTCCTTTCTCCGGCTTCTCTTTCACGTGACAATGAGTTTTGGCTCTTAATATATTTCTCTAAATTCATGACTGATGACCTTGAGAAAGTTCAGTTATTCTTTAAGTCTTTACTGCAGATTTTGGGGGGCAGGTGCGGTGATGTGGGGAGGGGGGCAGTTGGGAGAGGGGGATTTTGTCACGAAATATATTTAATCTTTGCTCTTGAAATAAAAACAAAACAACTTCTCTGAGAAATGATCCCGTGAAAGGCCGCTAAACCATTACCAGTGTCTTATATTTTCAATAGAATAAAGACCCCCCGTGTCGCCTTGAACAGACTGTAGGGGCAAGTGCTGTTAGCGAGTAGCACTGATGAAGGCCGGAAACGGTACACGAAGGCCGTGGGTACCCCAGCACCACGCCCCACCGCCTTTGTCTCCCCAGTGGCGATGTTTACACACCGCACCAGGTACACATTGTAGGCTGAGCCGACCTAGGAGAGGCCCAGGACCGGTGAAGATAATCGGCACTGGCGTTGGCTCCCCAAAATAGACCCTCTCTATAGCACCAACCACAACACTCTGTAGTCCATTAGAGGTCAGATTTGCAGCAACATCCTTTGGGGAGTAATGTGTTACCGTACTGTCATTTGATTAGCGAAGGCAGGCACCGGTGGAACCACGCGATATAATTCCGTGTTGAGTGCAATGCAATCACATTGGGCGTTGGCCGCGTGGCGTAGTGGGAAACACTTGTGCCTCACACGCAAGGCGCGTCTGGGTTCGATGCCCGATGCGGGCGCCTCCCTGCGTGGAGTTGGGTACGTGGGGTTTCATATTCTTAGGTTTTTTCGGTAAAGTCACGTATTAATAAAAGTAAAATAAAATAAAAATGACGACGTTTCGGAGGCAACACAAGCTTCCGAAACGTCGTGATTTTTATTTTATTTTTATTTTATTTTACTTTTATTAATTTTAATTTTAAAATTTTACCTACGTGACTTTACCGAAAAACCTAAGAATATGAATCCTTGCAGTCACGAAAGCTTCAAATCTAGAACGTGGCGTTTCCTTTGGGTTTCCTCCGATAGCTAAACACAACATCACGTTACTGGAATTGTGAATCTTGTGGGTTTACTCACTGACTTCATCAACCATGGTGGTAGCAGGAAAGGGGCCGTCCATAAATGACGTCACGAGATTTTGGACGATTTTTGACCGCCCCCCATTCGTCACACGACGTCACAAAAAGTCAGACCCCCCCCTCAAATATGACGTCACAAAGCTCTGCCCCCCCCCCCCCAAAAAAAAATATAACATGCTTCAAATCGCTTTAAACTATTGTCATTGTAGTGCGTATTTAATGCGGCGCTGCACTCTGATGTAGCAGAAAACATTTATTAGAAAGTCTATTTAATTAAGTAGAACATGTTGTCTATATTTATTTAAAGTTGCGCATTTTGATGTGACGTCACATTTCTCAAACCCCTCATCCCCCCTCGTCACACATCGCCACAAATGTCTGACACCCCCTCCCGTAGGTGCGTGACGTCATTTATGGACGGCCCCAAAGATGTAGGTGAATGCGATGTCGCATCGTGAATAGGAAGAACAGCGATACGAGGTGGAGTGGGGGGAGGAGGGAGACGGGGGGGGGGGATATTCCGACTCATTCTCAGACAGAATCTACAAACAACCTAGAACAAAAAAAAATTAACCCGTAAAAATAAAGTTTTTCACTATAAATCCTTTATATGCGTGGCGGCTAGAGTCCTCTCGTCCTCTGGCTTGAGATGGCTGCCACCTATGGGTAAGATGATTGCCTGCCACCATTAAGCAATTGGTAATTAAATATAAACAAAAAATTCCTAAAAAGTGTAAAGTTATGGAAAAAAATTTTCACAAAAATAAATTGTCACGCACAACGAGTCTGTGTGCAAAATGT